ATCTTGATATATTTTTACTTTATATTTTGTATTTTACTTTGTAAATAATTAGATAAAGCAAAACAAGTACTAACCAAAAAATTTTTTGCAGACAATACTTTAGAAGTTATCTTCATTATTGAAAATGCAAAAAAAAAAAAAAAAAATTTTTTTAGAGAAAATAAGTGTGGCATAGCCCCAGTGCCCCAAGCCAATGAGTTTCTGGCCATCTGCCTTAAAAAATAATTTTAACATGTGCATTTATTGGCACACAGAATGCCAGAATTTTCAAAGCTAGTCTGGAAGGTAGTGAAAAATCAATTGCAATATTACGCTACAAAAAAGTGGAGACCCCGTACCCCATTATCCATATATAAAAATTCATATACTTGCAGATTAAAAACTTTATATTTTTTGAAAGATCAATGAATATAAAATAGTGTATTTTTTTTTTTTTTTTTTTTGATATCATCAAGGAATCATTGGGTCAAATTTCCTAAAATTATTTAAATTGATAATTACAGGTACTTGATAACAATTTTTTACACTTCTGATCATTTCATTGGATTTGTCACCCCCAAAATTAGTTAGTTACAAATTTTAAAGCTCAATATTTTTTAAACCTCAAAATAAATGTTGCATTTCTGAGGGACAGGAAGTGCTTGTCTATTATCTGCTAAAAGTAAAGTGGTCATATTTCAGTATCTTCTGGGAGCCATAGGCCAAAATTTTCAAGGAGTTTTTATTTTACTAAGCACTCTCAACTATATAAAAATCAGCAAAATCTGAGGTGTATCAAAACCTGAGTATGGTGAGATGACCTGGATCATTTGACATGGAATTACCCTATGCTGTGTGGGTTCCTTTGATAAAAAAGTCTAAATGTATTTGTAGAGCAGTTCAATTTATGAAGTTTATGAAACCTAATTTTATGATTAAATTATGAATAAAAAAAAAAATAAGTTAAATAAAAATAAATAAAAATCATGAGCAAAGTTATTTGAACCATTAAAAAATACTTTAAGGTTATGCTACAAAAGTTTTGTTGGACTGACTTAAAAGGATATACAAAATTAATCAATTTGGGAAAGCAAACAAAAAAAAGTGGCAGATCTTGGGATAAAAACCAAATGGCTGGAAAAGATTGTCAGAAAATCTTCTAAAGTAAATATTCAAAAGAATTATCACTAAGAAAACTTGAGCCAATAAGCCTGATTGCTTTTAATGAGAAAATGTAATAGTTACTATTAACAACTATTAAGTAGCTCTTGGGCTTGAACAAAATCAAAGTATTAAATCTTTTAACATATGAAATGTTAAAGAAGCACTGTGTTAGCACTGTCTATAATCTTCTTAAAATCTTAGCAAAAAAAGGTTGGTGGCATGACTAGCAGTGAACAAGGGATATTATAATAATGATTGGTGCAATAAATGCAGGACGTGGGCTACATGCCTCCAATTTTGATTCTCTTTCATGAAAAATGTAAGGACTTTATGTGTCAAAAATTGTTGGACAAGCTTTTACCTTACCATTTACACCATCAACTTCACACACAGTTTTAAAGTGAGTGGGCATCATCCACTGACTGAAGACATTTTCAAAGATTTCCTATCATCCACTGAAACAGATTGACTGCTGTCTGTGTCTAAAGACCAGTCTGAAAACCAAAGTATGAGTATTAAGGGCTTTTTTTTTAAAAACATCTTTACTTCTAACAGTGCTGCAAGCAACCACTTTTAGAGTTAGAAGTTACTGGAAGAGAAAAAATGAAGTTTATAAAACAAAATAAGGATTAACAGGCAACTTAAAAGATTGCAAATTATATGAATAAGGAAAATAAGATAAAAGGAGTGAATTCCAAAGAACAGATGCTTGAGACAAAAAAACTAGAAGTAAAAGTATTTTCAGATCACTTGGGAACAGTCACAGTAAAAGGATGAGACATAATTAAATGATGTGGAACACAATACTGAATTTTAGTAGATGGCACAAAAGACCCTATCTTTTTAGAGCAGCACCCATTATAGTCTTTATATAATAGAGAAAAAGAAGCAACATTACAACAATGTGATAATGGTTGGAAGTTAACTGCAAAAGCAAAGTCTGGCTATGTTTACAATGTGTTTTTGCAGTTTGTCTAAAAGAGAAAGGGCACCATTCAAAGATCTGCTCCAGATATGGCAATAGTATTCCATGCAAGAACGGATTAGAGATTTATGGAAATTAAGAACAGAATCTGGAGTAAGAAAGTGGTGAGTACAATAAAGAGGTACAACCCTAGCAGATGCTAATTTTACAATGGATTTGAATTAATAGTTTCCAAGAAAGATCAGAAGTACAAGTTAATTCTAGAAGAAAAAGGTTAGAATCAAAGCTTAAACTCATTTTAAAAGTGTGTTGCAATATATATTTTAATATGTTCTTATTTTTTAATTTTTTCACAAGTTTAAATTAAGCTATTCTATTAGCTTTTGAAGCTTATGAAACATAATTTATAAAATTTGATACATTATTTGATATGATACCCTATATCGTAGTATATTGGTAACTAAAATATAAATAAGTTATAGAAAGTTTATAATACAACAAGCTTTTCTCAAGGTCTAAATTTTTCATTTTTGAGAAATGCATTGTTTTAAGTGCACAATAAATTGGGTTCCTAAAACTATTAATTTTTTTATTTCTGTTCTTCATAAGTTAAAAGCATCAATAAAAAATTTTTCTATTTATTAAATTTAACTGAGTGCATAATAGAATTGCATTCCTCAAACTTTATTATTTTTTTTTTTCAAAATTTTTTTTAAAATTTTTAAAATCCCAAAATATTTTTTGCTATATTTTTTCAGCCATAAAAGTCATGCCCAAAAGTGTGACAAAACTTAGCACTCAATATCTCAAAAACTGCAAAAATTTCACATTTTTTGCTCCTTAATTATTGATCAAACTTAAATATTTGTTCTAAATATATTTGTTTATATATTTGTATTTAATAATCAGTTATTCCTTAACCAGGCATTTTAGTTCTGATGACACCATTGGAGATCTGAAAAAGTTAATTGCTGCACAAACAGGAACAAAGTATGAACGAATTGTGCTTAAAAAATGGTAAATAATGTATTTTTTTTAATTTTTGACAAAAACATTAATAGCTGGATTTTAAAAACTAGAGCTATAGTAAGATAATATTAGAAATGAAAAGCAGTAGGATAGAAATAGTCAGAAAATAATATGAGAAAATACAAGAAACAATTAGTTAATATTATGAGAGAATACAAAAACAATTAGTTATAAATAGTGATAAAGTAAAGAAAGAATAGAAAAATAGAAAAGTATTTAACAAAGAATTATGTTTTAACAATAGAATAAAGTTAATTTATTGTTCTAATTAAAAAGTTTTAAAAGTATTTAAGTTATTGCTTATTTAAATAAATTTTTATAAAAAGAAATAAAAACTGTTTATTATTTTGTAAAGACAAAGATGAAAATAGAGGAAAGAAATACAGTTTTGTTGTTTATGTTATATTCTTAAATTTTTTATATTTATATATATTTTTATATTCGTTATTATATTTTTTTAACTGTTTTATTATTTATATTTAGGTATACTATCTTTAAAGATCACATAACACTGCGTGACTACGAAATTCATGATGGAATGAACCTGGAACTTTACTATCAATAATGATACAAATTTTGTAGCAAGATTCTTGGTCTTTTAAGCTATTTTAGCATAAAGTAAAATGCATGAACGAAGTATAATGTATATTGTGTTTATATAACTAACTAGTACACAACTGGAGTTAATATTTAACTAGGGCTGGGTTTGATAAAAAAAAAGCCGGAGTGTTGCTATTGTCAAGGGATGTATGAATATTGACATTCTATAAATATATTTTTTTTCATTGAAATTTTTATATATTATATACGTACATACACACACATACATACAAATATACATGCATACATTTATTCATGCAAACATCCATACATTCATACATACATACACACATACACACATACATACATACACACATACACACATATACATACATACATACATACATACATACATACATACATACATACATACATACATACATACATACATACATACATACATACATACATACATACATACATACATACATACATACATACATACACATACAAATGTATGTGTATATATACATGTATGTATACATAGTATATACATTATGCAAATATAAATTTTTACATTAAATCTTTAATACATAATTCAAAAACTTTGCAAATCAAAAACAAAACTTAAAATTGAACCTTCCGTTAAAAACAATACTACCAAAAAATGTAAATAATTAGTTAAATTTATTAATATTAGTCACACGATGTGTTTAACGCTTTTAATTAGTAATCTGAATGCAGAATCAGAACTTCTCTTTTTAATGGAAGTTATTTTCAAAAAAAAATGTTTATTACTTTGTAATCATTAGAAGATATTCTTTTAATATTTATTATAACCCTACAGTGAGCAAACAAGTTTGTTGGCTAAAATATGCAACTAATAACTTTAGTCTTCAAATAATGAAACTAACGCTGAAAAATATCATTTAACCTGATGAAAAACAAACTATTAAAAACATTAACAAAAGTTTGTTTTCTGACAAAAATGGTGATGGTAGTTTGATAAAAATGAAGTAAATATATTTTTTTAATGAAATACATATTTTATAAACTTGCATAAATTTTTGTTATATATATATATATATATATATATATATATATATATATATATATATATATATATATATATATATATATATATATATATATATATATATATATATATATATATATATATATATATATATATATATATATATATATATAGTGTAAATTTCAAATAAATTTTATATGTATATTATAATGTATAGTATAAGCATATTATATGCCAGTATATAAAAAAATAACAAAAACTTGCATAAGTATATAATATATTATATACTGCACATTATATCTAAATATGGAGGTGTTGTAAAGACCTCCATATTTAGCCGAGGCAGGGGCCAGAAGCCCGGTTTAGGTTTTTTCATATGTTTATTTATGCATATAACTACGTAACTTATGCTTCAAGTTTTGTTCTTATAAGCATTTTATGTTTCTATAAATGGATTTTATAAAAATACAGACAATGAAAGTTGTCAAGCTATCTTTTTGATTCTAGTTTTTTCATTTTAATTATTAAAAACAAAAACTTTTAGTGAAAAATATTTTTTTATTTTCAATACTTTGAAAAAACATGTGTTTTGTAGATTAAATGAGTGATTTAGCAGAAATTCCTAATAAAAATGAAGATACGAAGGCAAACGTTGCTTTATTAGGATTAACTATAACTGGTGGGTTAGCTCTTGGGCTTACGGTGGTTTCAGCATCATTTGTTAGTCCTGCTTTTCGTCGAATATGTCTACCATACGTTCCGGCAACTAACAAACAGATTGAAAATGTTTTAAAACTTTGCAAAAACAATGGATCAAGTAAACTTGTAGATCTCGGAAGTGGAGATGGGCGGATAGTATTTTCAGCTGCAAAACATGGATATTTAGCGACAGGTTATGAGTTAAATTTTTGGTTAGTTTTATATTCCAAAATTTATAGTAAACTATTTGGTTTTCAAAAAACAGCCATATTTAAACGTCAAGATTTGTGGAAAGCAGATTTAAAATGTTTTGATAATATAGTAATATTTGGAGTCCCAGATATGATGAATAAATTAAGTTTAAAACTGGAGGTAGAGATGAACTCAAACTCACGTGTTATAGCTTGTCGTTTTCCTTTTCAAAAATGGGTGCCTGTTGATGAGATAGCAGATGGTATTGACAGTACCTGGCTATACACAAAAGAAAGTTTTAAAAAAGAATCTGTGCAACAGAAGTAATATTAATGCATCTGAATATGTAATTTTTTTAATTCACTTTTTTTTACAATATTATATTTCATGCTAATCTAACAATTTTTTTTTTTTTAATATTTTAGATGCAAACATCCGTTTACTACAAATATCATTATTTGGTCTTAAAGCGTGTCTGTCTCACCCTTTTTTCTAAAAATTTTTTTATTTTTTTAGTTGAACAATAATAAAAAGCTTACTAATGACAATCAGTATGTCCCAAATAGAAATAAATTAAAGTTTAGTAATAATTTATTAATAGTTATCTATTAAAATGAAACTTTAAATTTAGTCTTTTCAGTCCACAAACTTGTGATCACCAAGCTGTGCTTCTTGCTCTAAAATTATTTTTATTTTTTAATTGAATAATCAAGTTTTGAAAATAATTGAATTTCAAAATTGAAAATAAGTTTGTAAAAACCTTTTAAGGATACCTCATTATAAAAAACTTCATCAGTAAATTAATTGGTGTATAGCAATTTTAAAATAAAGCTTTTCAATAGGCCGGATGAATAAAAAAAGCAAATGCTTTTACTCAGCGTTTTTGGAGTAATTGGAGCTTTACATGAATAAAAATTTGAGCAAAATGGCTCAAATTTTTATTTACGCCAAGTTAAGCAATTTACTTCTAAAACGCTGAGTAATTGCTGAATAGGAAAAAAATACTTGTCTTAAATGAATAAAAATTTAAGTTAAATTGCTGAAGTTTTCACATAAAGCAATTACTGAGTAAAAGCAATTAATTTTTTTTATTCACTCAATGCAACTAGGCATGTACCAACGCATATACACGTTTTTCCGAACAAAAGTATTATAATAAATAGTTTTTTCAATTACAATATATGTAAGTTTTTTCATCAAAAAGTATGACATACTTGGTATGTATGGAAAGATTATTGTAACCAGTATTATAATCAGGTAAAAGTAATGCGATTATAGCAAATCGTTTAGCGTAGTTTTATTTAGAAAAGATGTAATTTTAAACATAAAGTACCTTAAGGCCAGTGGCGGATTTAGTATAGAGCGTTAGGGTGGGGGATGGGGGCGAGCTGCCCCCCTCCCCACGCTGCTTATAATACATCAATACGCGCTGATGTAAATTTAACTGAAATTTTAAATTGAATTTATAATTTTTACTTTATTATTTTGACTTGATTATGCAAAGAAACAAATTGCAAACATTCCGAAACGTTAAAACAACAAAGGAAAATAACCCGTTTTTGATTTATTTCAAAGTAATTCCTGGAAAGCCCAACACCGGTTTACTCAAAAATTTTATTTTCTCAAACTTGTTTACTCAAAATTTTTATATCTCAAACTGTTTTATTTGGTTGAAATGTACTTGAAATTGTCTAATGAATTACTATTAAAAATTTTCCGGTAAAGTCAAACCACGGATAAGTCGAACCATTTTTATGTGCCTTTTCAGTAAACTCTGGATAACTGGAACTATTTCTATTGGAATTAAAGATATTGACATAATTTAATTTTTTTTAAAATGAAGTCATTCTTTTTTTAAAACATAGATAACTGCAGCCTAAAAATTTCTTTATTTTTTCGTTGTATTTAGATCTTAATAAGATAGATTGTTATCAGACGTAAAATAATGCTATAATAAAACTGTTAAAAAGTAGGGGAAACCGGGTTATTTGTAACCGGGTTAGAATAGTTGCCTCTATTTTCATTATTTGAGCTCTGTAGCCCTAACGGCAAAGTTTTAGTAAATATTAAAGCGCAGTTTTAAAGAGTATGAATTAATGTAATTTTTAACTTGTATTCATTATAAATAAAAAATTTTCGTGCGTGTCTCAAAAAAAAAAAAAAAAAAAAAAGTTATCTAACTTCTTGTAACTTTGGCTAATCATAATCTAGAACAATTAGTTGATTTCTCAACCTTCGAAGCATTTAATGGAAATGCAAAAAATGTTTTGGATTTAATTATTACAGACTCTTCAACTAGAGTAATCAATTTATCTAGCTCTATGCCGTTAGGTGATTTGTCACAAGGTCATCGCATATTGAGTTGGGATTATGTCGTCCTCTCTAAAAATAAGACAACTTTCTCAAACAAAAAATATGATTTTAATAAGGGTGACTATAAAAACTTTGGTAAAATGATTATGGAAACTAACTGGCAGCAATTATTTGAAAATAAAAACACTAACGAATGCTATGAACTTTTCTGCAATAAATATGATAAACTCAGCAAGCAATTCATTCCGTTAAAAAAAGTCCATTCTACTCGTAATGCACCGTGGATGAATAAGGAAGTATTAGCTATGATAAAGAAAAAACAACAACTGGGCAATTACTTATCTACGACAAACTGGGGATCATCGACCCTCATTTGTGAATATAAGAAACTAAGAAGCCAAGTTCAGAAAGCATGTACACATCGTGTTCGAGTATTTAAAGCCCAACTGGCATCAGATAAAAGTAATCCAAAAAGAATGTATGCTTATGCTAAAGCGCAACAGAACGTACATGTATCTATTGGCGCTATATCAGATGCAAAAGGTGAAACGTTAACAGAGGCAATAAATATCGCAAACAGACTTAACGAACACTTTAAATCAGTTTTTGTTGATAATAGCATAAATGATCAGTCACCTGTTTTTGAGAGAAGACATAATCAAGAAGACTTAGGCGATGTAATAATAAGTTTTGAAGCAACGTTAGTCTATTTGAATGGTTTGAACCCGAACAAATTTATTGGTGTTGATAACATTAGTCCAAAGGTACTTAAAGAATGTGCAGCTCAAATGACTTACCCTCTAACATTAATTTACAATAAAACACTGTCTGAAGGCTCAACACCTTTAGCCTGGAAGCAGTCACATGTTACACCGTTGTTTAAAAAAGGGAGTCGTCTTGATGCCGCTAATTACAGACCAGTGTCTATCACTTCAGTTCCATGTAAAGTAATGGAAAAGATTATCAAGGAACAAATAACTAAATATCTTGAAAAAACGAGCTGCATCTCAAATAATCAACATGGATTTATGTCCAAAAAGGGATGCACGTCTAACTTATTGGAAAGTATCGACTACATTACAAAAGCGTTAAGCAAAAGAAATTTTGTCGATATTTCATTTTTGGACTTTGCAAAAGCGTTTGATAAAGTTTCTCATCGTAGACTAATACATAAATTGAAAGCATATGGGATCAATGGTAATGTTGGCAAATGGATTGAGTCATTTTTGACTAGCAGAAAACAACGAACAGTTTTAGGTAATCACTCTAGCGACTGGACCGATGTTTTAAGCGGAGTTCCACAAGGGTCTGTACATGGTCCAACATTATTCATCATCTACATAAATGACTTAACGGATAATTTAAAATCAGTTCATAAAATTTATGCTGATGACACTAAACTGTTGCAAGAAATAAGACCTGAGTTTCACGATGCTGATTGTTTGATTCTTCAAAATGATTTAAACATTATCTCAGAGTGGTCAAAAGAATGGCTTATGGAATTAAATGTTGCAAATTGTAAAGTTATGCACCTTGGTCATGGAAATATAAATCATGAATATGTAATGAATGATGGTAATACATCTCTTATTATAGCGGCAATGGATATTGAAAGAGACCTGGGTATCTTTTTATCTAACGATCTAAAATGGAATCAACACATACAGGTTGCGACACGTAGAGCCAATATGATACTTGGCCTACTTAAAAAAAACATTTAGATCAAGAGATATTAAGCTTTGGGGTAAACTATATACTACATATGTTAGGCCGCACCTGGAATTTGCTGTTCCGGTATAGTGTCCTTACTTAAAGGGCGACATCAAAGAAATTGAAAAAATTCACCACAAAGCAACAAAAATTCCTCATGATATAACAAGTTTACCTTATACTGAAAGGTGTCGGCGTCTCAATTTTACTTCTTTGGAAAATCGCAGGCGACGCGGCGACTTGATCCAACAGTTTAAACTTGAAAACGGTTTTGAAATTATTAATTGGCATAATCCACCTCTTCGCAGATCACTATCTAACGTACTAATGCGTGATTTCACTTACAGTAATGCTCGACCTAATTTCTTCACAAATTGTATTGTGAATGATTGGAATTATTTACCGTTGTCATGCAAAAAGGCTCCGTCAATTAACGCATTCAAAAGTAGAATTGACAAGTATTTTTTTCCTACAGCTGCAAACAGTGCATCTTTTACTGAAGATGAGCTGCACGTTTAATTTAATTAACTCGTGCTTTAGCGGCTACAAATATTGACTTTTTAGGTACATTTGTCATAAACGTAAACTGTAATTAAATGAAAGCAAAAAAAAAAATAAAAAATAAATAAATAAAAAAAAAATAATTAAAAAATAAAAAAAATTAAAAAAAAATAAAAAAAAATAAAAAAAAATAAAAGAAATAAAAAATAATAATAATAATAAAAAAAAAATAAAAAATAAAAAATAAAAAATGCTTTTGTTTTTTTAATCTGTTTATTGGATTGTTTTTTTATTTATTTGTCATGTAATCTATAAAGACTTATTTAAATATATTACTATTACTATTACTATTACCCACCCAGGGTAAGTTACCAACTTACCCCACCCCGGGTAAGTTGGCGCAAATTAATAAAATGATTATTAATCTACTATTTAATGCAAAATTGATAGAAATAATTCACTATATTATGGCAACAATTTTAAGCAAAAGTTAATATTACTTTTAGCTGGTACTAAATATTAGTACTTATAACAGCCAAAACAGTAGCCCACTTTTTAACTGTAAAAGAAAAAAACCCGAAAAATTTATTTTTTTATTTTTTTGTATAAATATAATTTTTCAATATTGTTAAAAATAAAAAAAAATCATTTTATAAAAATATATACACTTTTCCATAGTAAATGCTATGAGCCAACTTACCCCGTGAAAATTTTGCCACCTTACCCCAAAAGCCTTGTTTTCAATAAACAGATCCTGAAAAACACCATCAACTGCACGGTGGTTTAGATGCGAAAAGTTATTATATGCAAGCGCAGTGTCAAATCCAACTAATTATTAAAATACATCTAACGTCAAATACAACTGTTAAAAGCGTGATTTGTTTATATTTTCAAAACGCTTTTTCTAAAAATCTAAGCGTGACAATTTATCATTTTTTACTTTTTTATTTAAATTAGTTTTATCATGGTTTGAAATTGTTTTCAGATCTAAGTATTTAATATTTTTCCTGAATAAAAAAAGAGTTTACGTAACACTACTTTTGTCTTAATTTATAGATGTATGATACACTTACATTCATGTATATACAGACCCGTCTTTAGA